AAAACCAATATTTGTTTCTTTTAGCAACCATGCAGATACTTCTTGTTGAAGCAGAAGCTTCTGTACAAGGAAACCTCAGTATATCACGTGAGAGTTGCCCTCGGCGCTGGAAGATTAAAGAGGATTCAAATACAGAGGCTCTTGAAATTTGGTGTTGGAGAAGAGGAAGAGAAAAAATCAGACTCTACCTCAGGGCTTTGCCAAAGAAATGTTCTAATAATGTCAATACATGCAATTGCCTCAACGTTACAATTGAAAGCAATGATTTTTTGATATGGAAAAATTAGAGTACGAATGCATCTTTAACTAATTTCCAGATCCCTATGTCTCAAAAGAAATCAATCTGACAAATGAACACATAAATAATAATTAATTATTTGAATGATCCTCATTTTTTTTAGAATGGATACATGGAGAGATGTCTGAAAGTTTTATATTTTGTAAAAAATGCTGCAAGACTGAATGTCCTCCTTGTTGTAGAGATACAGACTGTAGACAAAGGTAATGACTTCCTCTAAAACATACTTTTAAACGCTTTTATACCTCAAATGTTTGGGTCTCTCATTCTGTATGCATTTTTTTTCTATCATAGGTTAAGGATTGAATCAAAGATTTCAACAATTGATGTGAAATTTAATAGCAGTTCTGAGTTAAGTGTGACTAACGATGATGACAGTGAAACAGGTAGGCAGTTTTTTTTTTAAGTTATCATCCTGCAGCTGAAAGCTGGGAATTTTTGTTGCTGTTTTTACTTAAGATGTTTAGTTTCCAAATTAATTAGTAAACTGAGTTAAATGCTTTTATTTACTTAATAAAGAATGTGATGGATATAAAACTGGAGATCGACAATATTTCACTCTAGCAATGGTAAAAAGAAGAAGCTTCAACAGAAAAAAAAATTTGAACCATTTTGGTTTAGGACAGTTTATGATGCATGTTTGGCTCTAATTTACACATAAAATGACATTGTTGGCTGCTTCTTTTTTCATTGAACAGATTTCCTTCTTAGATATTAAGTGCTGTGAGTTCTTGTCTTCTTTGTGTTACTATTGATCCCCAAATTCCTTTTGTTTCATAAGTTTTAACTGCGGCATATCTAATTGTGTAATTGTTTGCCATGTTACTTTACAGCAGGAAGTTCCTGGGTTCCAATCCCTGCCTGGGGTCTCTTTGCATGTAGTTTGAATTTTCTCCTTATGCTTGCCTGAAAAACATTTTTTTCTCAGTTTTATAATGGGATATTTGTGTGGAAAGTAAAAAGGAAAGAGATTCATTTAATACCATTTAGAATATTGTGATAGCTTAAATTGAATGTAGAACTCACTCCTTCAGTTACTAATTACAAAGACATCAGTTCCACCCTCCACCATGCAGGGTGAGATTTTAAAAAATGTTGTGCACTGAGTCTGCAGGCGTTTTTCTTATAAGTCTGCATTAAATATTATTTAATGTTAATTTTGACAATTTTTTAATTTAACATGCTGTTAAAAGTTGTCATTTCTTCTATTCTATTCTGGTTCCATAGTTATCGACCTCCTACTCTTTAATCTTAGTGTGTATTTAGCAAAATTGCTAAAACATTGCATGACATAGATGCAATGTTCAAGCCAAGATACTCTAACATTGCTTGTTAGAGCTGTTGTTTTTTTACCGGTATTTCTAACTCAGTAGAGTTTTCTTTTTTAACACACACATTTGTTTGAACATAAGTTTGATATGAAAACATAAAGCCTTGTTTTTATTTCTTTGTTTGTTGCCAAGAAACATTTCTGCAGGCTATAAATGAGACCAACAGCTGGATTAAAGCTCTGCAGCACTGCCGACATTTGAATTCGACCCTGGTTCAGATCACTGATGAGACAGTGGGGTACGAATTGCTGAGTCTGCTAGAGGAAAATGAAGCCTTACAGAACGGATCCTGGATCGGACTCGAACGCTCCATCTTTGGCACCAACTTGGAGTGGAAGTGGACCTCGGGGATCAAAGCTGATTACTCCGACTGGAACAGCAGCTTTTCTGTCGATCCCTTGAACAACCACTGCGGAAAGATTGTTTGGCTTGAAGATTCAGACGATTTCCAGCTGCTGGATGGAAACTGCCATGAAAAGCTACCTTTCATCTGCCAACGTAAGCTTCACTTTCAATGAGAGGCCTTTATATAAAGAGGTCTGCAGTGAGCATTATAGAAAACTAATAATCCTAAGTTTGATCATTGTATTTAATTTCTTCAGGTCAGCCATAATCTCTACGGAGCTCAGAAAACTACATAGATGGATCATCTTTCTGCGAAAAGTACTCTTTAATTATAAAGGGTTGCTCTGGATTGCATGTTTTTTTTTTATGTTAGATATATCGTTTTACATTTAGTTATTTTATTTTATTTCATTTTATGCTTTATATATTTATTAAGCAGCATGATTAAAACAAGCAGTTTATCATCTTTGAAATTTTATTTTTACCTCTTTTTGTATTTCTGTTGATGAAGAAGTAAAACACCCAGAAAAATTAGAACT